TCTCCTAGAGGCAACTAACTGACAGGACTCAGGTAACTGACATTCACCAGGCTTCTCATCCGGGGTCCACAAAACTTTCTGAGTTGACCAGACCAAGGTGTGTTATACCTAGACTGCACAGCCTAGTACAGTATAACTCAGCCAGATGCCAGGTTTGTGCAAAAGTCAGTCAGAAACAGAGAGCCCTTTCCCAGGAAGCTGTCAGAATGAGAGATCAATACCCTGGTGAGTTCTGGGAACACTCTCTTCACCAAGATCCAGCCTGCTAGGAGAGGAGAAACCTTCTTGCTAGCTTTTGTAGATACCTTTTTCTGGTGGGAAGAAGTGTCCCCCACCAGGACTGAAAATGCTAAAACTGTAGCTAAGAAGCTCCTCCAGGAACTGGTGTCCTGATTTGGCCTCTGCCTAGCAATGGGGTCTGACAATGGCCCACCTTTCAGAGCCAAAACCTCTCAATTAATAGCTAAAGCTTTAGACATAGATTGAAAACTTCATTGTGCTTCTAGACCTCAGAGTTCTGGGCAGGTAAGAAGAATAAACAGGACATTAAAAGAAACTATCAAAATTCTCAGTAGAGTCCAGAGAAGGATGGGTAGGCCTCCTTCCTTTGCTTTGCTTTGGGCCTACCTCACCCCATACAGGAAAGGATTTACCACCTCTGAGATTATGTTTGCACGACCACCCGCACTGCTTCCCAGGCTCAGAGACCAGCAGTTGTCAGAACTCTCTAACCTTTCCTTTGTCAAGTCACCACAGACCCCAGTCCTCCATACAGGTTGTTCATTGGACTATCTGAGAGATTCAGCTGGCCTCTGAGTTCACCAGTTTCCCCATGTTTGAAGCCACTGATACTGTCTGCGTTAAATGTTTGAGTCCACTGATAGTGTCTGCGTTAAGACAGTAGCCAAAGCTGCACTGAAACCAACTTGAGAAGGTCCCTATAAGTGATTCTCCCCACCCCTAAGGCCAGGAAGACAGAGGGAGCTGGAACTAACCTAGAAGGGCAAGCATGAGGTGGTTCTCCCCACCTCTAAGGCCAGGAAGACAAAGGGAGTTGGAACTGACCTACAAGGGCAAGCATGAGGTGATTCTTCCCACCCCTAAGGCCAGGAAGACAGAGGGAGCTGGAACTAACCTAGAAGGGCAAGCATAAGGTAATTCTCCCCACCCCTAAGGCCGTGAAGACTGCTGGCATTGCAGCATGGATCCTGATCACACCCAGGCCAAGAAATTGGAAAGCCACAGACGCTGCTGCCAAATGGACTGTCTCTGGACTATGGACCAAGTGAAATTAAGGTGCCATTGGACCTAGGGCTCTTCCACTTCCTGCCCCTCTAACTTCTTCCAATGAGTTTGTTTGATATGAAGACTGGATTATGATCCAACCCTGGCCACCCTCAGGCCTGGACTGGAAACTGAGGAAGACAGACATAGGCAACATGTTAGCTAGTGTGACTTCTACTTGCTGATGGCCACTTTAAGTGCCTGGTTGTATGGAGACAAAAATACATGAGAGAATTTATGTTTTGAGGGAGCAATACAATGTTGATGTGTGCCTTGCATCTGGGTCCCCTAGTTGTCAGAAACTAGGAAGTTTCCATTGCAAAAATTGGGGTTGTAGAACAGAAGCTTCCTAAAATTTTCCTTTAAAGGAGTCTGGCCTTTAGGAAACAGGAAAAACCTGGAAAATCAGACTCTATGCCACAGGAAAGGACCCTGTGGATAGAGTTAATCCTTCCCAGTCAGCAGTAGGCCAGGATTGCTGGTTATCCCTAAACATCCAGCCCTGTACTCCACAGGGATAGGTACAAACTACAGGTACAAGAAAAATCATGCAGCTCAGTGGTGGGAAGCTCTGTCTTCCTTTCTTCCCAGTGCACAGGAAGCCTCTTTCCTCCATCACTGCTGGGGTCAGCTTTGGCCAGTTTGTTCAGTTTGTGTTCACAGGTTTCTCCACTCCAACCTTGTTTTC